ACATAGAAGAAAGTGAAGCGAAAGAAGCAAGTGTTTCATGCAAATTGTTACTGGAGACTTAATCTGGTATAGTTTCAATAGCAGATTATAAAACATGTTTTTACTCTTTGAGAGTAACATTATTAATCTCACTACATGACAGAGAGCTTTGAATTCCTTTACTTTTGTATGTTCGGAGAGTAGTTACTTATTCTGGTGCTTTTCTTCAACAAATTTGCGAGATGCTTAGACAAACTTTTCCTGTGAAAATTATAATCATGGAAATAAATGAATCATATGTCTGAGCAACTTGAAGATAGTATGTAAGCTAGAGCGAAAGCGGACAAGAAAAAGGTTACCTGCAAACCTCTAAACCACCTTTGAAATTTAATTCCAATCAGCGCCATAAACGCATAATCGTGTCAACTATGTTATTCAAGAACAAGACATATTTATGTCTCCAAGTCCTCATGAGAAACAAAGATCCCCATAGTGCCCAAAATCCAGTGATAAATCCCAATGCCGCACTCAAATAAATTGATTTTTTATCTTCTCGACTACTTTCTTCATGTGTTTCTGGTTTCTCATGTGCGGCTTCTTCATCTCCTGGACATTTTTTATCAAGTGGCTTCCCACAAAGATCAGCATTCCCTTCATAACTTGATGCATCGAAACTTTGTAACTGCGTGCCTATTGGAATCCTTCCAGACAGATTGTTATCAGACAGATTTAACACTGACAGACGATCAATTTGAGTTAGAGAAGAAGGAATTGGGCCGAATAAATGGTTTCTTGACAAGTCAAGAAATTCAAGTGATGTTAACCTTCCAATCTCTGAAGTAATTTTTCCGGTCAAATTGTTGCTTGATAAATTCAACGACACCAACTCTATCAAGTTTTGTATTTCTTCTGGAATGTCTCCAATCAATTGATTGCTTGAAAGATCAATACTCCTCAAAATGAGTTTATTATTCTTGAATTGTTGTTCTGCACCTTTCCACATCAACAATGCAATAATATCAAACCCTTCAAAGTTCTCTCTATAGGTAACTGTGTAATATAAAACGGATTCTGTTGTACTGTCTGAGGAAACATCTTGAGACATTGCAGAAAAATTCTTCATGCATTTGAAAATTCGTCCCGATAGATTGTTTTCTGAGAGATCCAACAACTGAATGTTTGTTAAGTAACAAAGATTCTGTGGAAGACTTCCATAGAATTGGTTCTTTCGGAAGCTTAACATTTGCAATTGTTGTCCTAACCAATTCGGTATTGGTCCTGAGAATCTATTATTTCCAACATCAAGCATGATCAGTTCAATGCAATTTTTCAAGGAGACAGGTAACTTTCCAGTGAAGGTATTGTTGCGCAATATCAATACCTTAAGTTCGAGTAACGATCCCATTGAGGATGGCACTTCGCCGGACAAAGTATTGTCACTCAAATCTAGAAATTGCAATGCTTTCAAATTATCCCAGCAATCGGGAAGTTGCATTGATAAATGATTTTTTGATAGATCCAACAAGAACAAACTATAAACCGTAGTGTTAGTACATAAAAACGAGGTAGTTTCTGAAAATTTATTCTTAGACAACCGCAGAAAAGTTGCACTTCCAAAAAACGGAGGGATTGGACCTTCAAACTGATTTGAGTCTAGAATTAGTGTACAATCTTTTGAAAATGTTATGGACAAATTTGGAATTGTGCCAGATAAATTGTTGTGAGAAATATTCATGAACCTTAAATTTTTTGCTTGAGTCCAAAACCACACAGGAACTACATCTGAGATTCTTGCATTAGAAATTTCCAAATCATAAAGATGTTTTTGACTCTGCAGCCATTTTGGAAAATTCGACCCTAAAACACAAGAACGTAAGCTTAACGAAGATAGCCGAAAAGGTGGCACCCAATTTTCACCAAATATCAGTGACAATGAATTTCCATTCAGGTTTAAATCTGTTAACAAGGACATGTTTCCGAAATGAGAATCACTGATCACACCTTCTAAGTTGTTAGAATCCAAATTCAGAACTTCTAGTTGATAGGGGAATGGAGACTTTTGCACTATCTTGCCATATAATAGATTGTTAGATAGATACAAGTTTTTGAGAGCCGACAACCCGGACATGTCAGGTATCGTGCCAATAACTTGATTGCTACCTAAATTCAATTCTTGCAACGAGTACTTTGCACATCCAACCGATAAATTATGAAGTATCCGTGTAAGATCTTCACTCAACTTGTTACTTGACAAATCTAGCAACTTTAATGAACATAGGTTACCAACTGATTTTGGAATTCCACCTTCTAAAGAATTTGATTCAAATATCAAAGACTCCAACGACTTTGGAATTTCATCTGGAAGCTTGCCACTTAACATATTAAATGAAAGGTCGATTTTCGTTAGAGATGGAAATATTGAAAGATTAGGCAATGTTCCAGTAATTTGGTTGTGACCTAAACTTAAACCTTGCAGCGAGTATCTTAAACAACCAGAGAATTTTCGAAGAATAGTTGAAATATCTTGATTCAAATTGTTATAATCAAAATGCAATGAGTGCAAAGTATGGGATTTGCAGTTTATGTTGCCAAAATCATATGGAATGGTGCCATTGAAGTTGTTAGAGGAAAGATCAAGCTCGGTTAAGTTGGAAGTGACGTTAAACACCCATTCAAGTATTTTGGATGATGAGAAGGTATTGAATGAAAGATCAAGGATCGCAAGAGAAGTAGAAAAATTCAACCGCGAACGAGATAGAGAGAGAAGATAAAGATCAGAAAGAGCACAGCCTGAGAGTTTCAATTCTTGTATTTTCGGAAGCTTGGCAATCATTTGCAACCAGACATGAGAAGAATTGAGATTCGGCATGCCACTGAAGTCAAGACGAGTTAAAAGAGTGAGATTAGAAAGCCACTGACCTCCAACATGATTATTCTCGTCATCGACTTTGAGTCCTTGGTTGTATTCAAGATGAAGCTCCTGCAAATTCGAAAGGCTTCCAAGTTGACGAGGAATGGTTCCATCGAGACCATTCTCTGAAAGGTCGAGGTGCTGCAAACGAGAGAGATTTCCAAGTTGACGAGGAATGGTTCCAACTAAGGCATTATAACTGAGATCAAGGTACTGTAAATGAGAGAGACTTCCAAATTGACGAGGAATTGAACCCTCGAGGTTATTGCTAGAAAGATCAAGATATTGCAACTGTCGAAGACGAGCAAAACCACTTGAAATTTGTGTCGAGTAAAACGAGGATTGGAGGTCAAGGAACTTCAAGTTGCTTAGAGAATCAAAAAACTCAGGAAAAATACTGTTTGAAATTTGACAATGACTAAGGTTCAAATAAACTAAATGTCGCAACTCCATCACCGACGCGTTGATCTCGCCTTGAAAAGGACCAAACTGATTCTCATTTAGATTAAGCTTTTCAACATGGCCAGTTTGATTGTTACAACCAATTCCTTCCCATGCACAACAGCCATCACTGTTACTGTCCCAAGTTGACAGAAGAGAAGTCTCATAGTTTCCAAGAAGGCTGGCCTTTATCTGAAGGAGAGCATGTTTCTCATTCTCTAAGCAACCAACTGTGAATAAGGGTTTGTTCCTAGAATAAGGGTTTGTTCCTAGAATAAAGGAAACAAATTAGAAATTGACTTGTTCTCATTAAAATGTAATTATTTAGTGTAATTACCAATATAGCCCTGTAACCTCTATATATACGAGAAATAATAATGAGAAAAGTATTAAGCCAAGAATTCTTGACACCAACAGCTCCATTCATAAACAAGTTCAACACAAGAATGGTTACTGCAACTAATTTGAGAACGCATACAACACTTGTGCTCATCATCTTTAGTTAGTGAAAGAGTTGATTATGAGTAATTGATTGCTACTCATTTAGAAAAAAGGAGAATATGATGACAGTGGATGGATTCATTCAATCTTTAGATACAGTCAAAGAAAGCATGTCACCTAATTCAATGATTAATATATTAAAAGACCACTAGGAATATTGTAACAATATCCAGTCCACTATGAATCAAAGATAGATACCATTTACACATTGTTTGGCTGAGAAAATAGAGAAAGGAAAGAAATAGAGGGAAGAGAAAGGATAGAAAAAGTATCAATTTTGTAGTTTGGTTTAAACAAAAAAGTAAGTTATTTTTGTGGCATAATCCTACACCTACACCAAATAGAATATAAATACTGTTTAAATTTTTTTACCATTAATTTCTCCCACTTATTATTTTTTATGCAAGTAGGGTAACACGCTAAATATATTAAAATAAAAAAAAGAGTACAAAAGACTCGGAGGGACGTAAAATATTCCACCATTTATATAATAAAAAAATTTATTAGAGAAAGTCTTGTGGTATTTATTTTAAAAGAAGTTTTTTGCGTTAAAAATTTGGGGTTCTTACTATTTTATTTTTCTGCTATTATTATTATTGTAATTGAGAGTTGGTTTGACTGAATGTCATTTAAATTGCACAAGTTTCAAAACAGTGTTTCGCTTGAAAAATATTCGGATTATTTTCCAACACCACCAACACAGAAACATGTCCATACACCAACAATTTATTGCATCAAAAGACACTAGATTAAGACAGTGGATAATGTGCTGGTAGATTAGTTTTTTTATTGAATGCTCTAATTATTTTCAGGAAGTTTTTTTCTTAGACATAGTCATTATATAAAGTATGTTTAATTATAGTTGTGATCCCTTATTTTACGTGATTCACAAATATAGTCATCTATATTGAAAATTGATATGTATCTTTTTTTAATGAGGTGTCGTTTGTGAAACATGACAAATAATCTTATATGAATATTTGTGAAATTTAAACATACAAAATATATGTTACATGTCAAGGGAAGCATAGTTATATGATTAAAAGCTCATAGTTATATTATTAAAAAGATTCATACAAAAAATATATAAACTATGAACAATAAGATAGTTACAATATCTTGAGATTTCCATACAAGAAGGTTTAAGATATTCAGCGAAATTCAAAGCTCATAACCTTCTGGAATAGCCAGAACCTGCGCATTTCTTGCAGAATATCAAACCTACAAAATGAGAATTAGCATATGTATTAGCAAAATATACTGTGAAATATCTTGTTGGTTTTCACTACTGTTGTCAATCGCAAGAACGTATCACAAAACAACAGTGATTTATTCAAATTCTGCTACACTATAGCCTCTATTTGACAACACTAGTTTCCCATCAAAAATAAAAACATCCTCTTAAAAATGGTAGAGAAAAGAACACCCCAAATTATTAGTGATAACTGATAAGACATAAAGAGATACCTGAACCCTTGCATACTTTGCAGTCAACCAACCCCGTCTCTTGCTTCATCTTGCCGTCGTTGCAAAAAACACATTTTGTTCCACCTGCTTATCAATAATGGCATATAAAATCGTAACTTTTTGTCAACACTTCAACAATACTAATACAAGTTGCATCTTTAAGTCATATTCAAAACAGAATCCTCTTGATTAAGGAACAAACAGGTTCACTTGAACAATAAAAACATTGAGAGTGCAATGGCAATAGAATATACAATTGTGGATCATAACTATAACTATAGCATGTATGTCACCTTCTTTCCCCATTTCAGTGACCCGTAACGTGGACACTTAAGATTTAAGACATGAAAGAGTGTTTGACACGTGCTGCAACTAGTTCGATGCAGTGGTTCCATTCATCACTTATATTTTCTCAAATTAACATTGTTTTCTACATGTTAATGTCGGTGTCATGTTTGTGTCAGTGTTTCATAAGCACATTGACATACGATGTATCTCCATTTTCAAGAAGGGGGTAAGGAGTATTAAAAAACATGGTAACTAGTGGAATACAAGGAAGCACGGCACTCTCTTAGTAGGACATTTAGAAGAGCTAACTCATGAGACAAACACTTGTATTAGTGTTTAAACACATAAAAATAACTTGTGACATAGAGATAAGTTTTCATCTTATTTCAATAAACTCTCCAAAATAGCTTGCAAATAAGCAATAATCAATAAGTCTTTCATCCCACTAGGCTTACTCAATCATTTTTCTAAACAAGTAACATGTTATGTCCTCGCTGCTAATATTTTAAAATGCTCCTCACACTACCAAAGTATAAAGCAATAATAACTTGCATAAAAGAAACAACAAAAATGACCATCAATCTTGAAGTCAAAATGCAGAAAGATAGTTACCGTTTCCACCACATCGCTCACAGGACACCGGATCACCCTGCAAAACCACATCACTCATTACTAAAAGTCCAAAACAAAGTACCAACCTTGATCCACAATCTTATTGTTACCAAGGGAAATACACTCCCGAAGTAAAACGTATAAATATATACTTTCCATAAATCATCGAGAACTCTTAAACAACACAATGCTCTATTCTAGGGGCGGAAACTATTTGCTTAGCTCTACATCCATGACATTGTATATCAAAATCAAACTCACTAATTAAAGGAATTATTTAAATTGGACTGACTACCATAAATGCATTTTTGAAAGCATAGATGGCTAAGAGCTAAACCTTGGTTTCGTAAAAAAGTAGCCGTCAACATACATGGTGGTCTTTGAAGGTGTGCAGCATAGGATACAGCACATGGCCTCAAATTTGGCATGGTTAAACCGTGGCTAAATAAGATTTCATAATAGTTTTGTCATGGCTAAATCATGGCAAAATAGGGTCCCTGGTTGTTTTGTCAAATTTGAATTGACCTCCATAAACTTAAGACGTTAACCTATAAACTAACTTATAGTTGATAAGCTAACAGATTAAGTGTTTGATAAAATTAGTTGTTAAATCATTGAATAATACAAAATGTGAAAATGACATAAAATGATTTTTAATTGATTTACTAAATTTTTTAACTAAGATGATAATAATGAGGATAAAAATGATATGATATAAGCTCAACCACTAGAAGTACCACCTCAAAAAATGCTATAAGATAATGAAAAAAATTCATTTGACAAAGAGAAATTTCAAGAAACTCTCTAAGTATATAACAATTGTTGCTATTTTCTATTGCGTAATTTTCATTTAACAAAGAGGAATTAACAAACAAACAAAAAAAGACATTTTTACGAAAACTAAAAAAGAAACCTATAATCGAAGACATGCAAAATGTGTTATTGTTGTTGTTGTTGTTACCTTGAGGCCAAGGAAGAGAGAAAGAGCAATGGCGGCCAGAACACTAACAGTAGCAAGAAGTGTCTGAGTATCGAAATAGAAAGCGCTACCGAAGCCGTTAAACAGCAAAATTGGGTCAATGATCATGAAGTGTTTGAGTTTGGTTGGTTTCCGTCTGAATTTTGAAGATGGGAAGAAGAATTTGGATGAAGATGAAGATTGGGGAAGAGTTAGAGAAGATGTAGAAGAACATGGTGAAAGATGAATCAATGTTGAAGAAGAAGAAGATAGAGGATGAAGAGTGTAGTGAGAAATTGTAGCCATTGATAAAAAAAAAAGAACAAATAAATTTTTTTTTATTAGAATGTGGAGCTAACTCAACTATGGCCTCTCCTTTTTTATTATTTGAATTTTATTTTTCTGTATTTATTGGTTGAAATATTTTTATATTATATATCAATTTTGATAATCTCGTGAGGCAAAAATAATAAGGGGTTGTTATTTTCCCTCTTATTATTGTTCAAAAATAAAAGATTAATCTAAATATGCATTTCCGTAACTCTTGAATTAATATTCAATAAATATTTTAGAGATGTATATTTGATATATATTTTATTAGTTTAAAAACACAACATAAATTAACATAAAAAAAAAATATTATATAGATAATTTTTAATTATTAAAATTAATATAAATTTAACATTACAACTCATTACATTTTCAAAAAAAAAACATTACAAGTCATTATATTTTCAAAAAAAAACATTACAAGTCATCACAAATAGGTGGTTCAGGACGTTGCAATGTCATTATAATATATTTGGCTGATCTTTGTTAAATACTTTGCTTTGGGACTGCTGCAAAACTAAGAATAAATGGAGATGAAAATTGAAAAATAAATTTGTTTGATAAATTTCCAAAACGTGTGTTTCCACACTAAGCTTAAGGAACAATTCGCCCCCACCAATATTTGTACGTTAGATGCAAAAGGATTTACCAGCAAATTTTCTGCGGAATACTTTGGAATCCTTAAAGAGAATTGCACAATCTCTCAAAGGCGTATCTTTTGATAATATTTTAGAGAAGAATGTTTCTTTTACTTGATCTCATGCATTAGAGAAAAGAAAGATGATTTAGAATGAGAAAATAATGTTGAGACTGAACAATTTTTCATGATTTAATGTCTAAGGTGAGGATTCAATTGAATCCCTCACCCATGTACCACTTTTTTAAACCATTGGATTAAATAAATCTATAGAATACTATTAATATTTACCATACTAGATCTAATACCCTTTTTCAACACCCACATTATTTATCTCTTCTACTCTGCTGCTGCACAAAGACATGGTTAATGGCTTACTCAAATTTTTCCACGGAGTTTATCGAAAATATCCACCTTTTCACTTCTCCCTTAATTTTATTTCTTAAAATTTCGCACAATTTTTTTGTTGATTTTTTATTGTGTTTTAGGTTACTTTTTGCAATGTTTTTTCAAGTGTTAAAAGTTGAAAAATGTGAAATTATAGATTGAAAAACCAGTCAAGTGATTGAAGGGTAACAGTGATCCACCAACATTGAACTTCAAAATTTAGAATAAAAGGGTCCACTGAAAAGACAACAATGAAAAACCGCTTGAAAAGGTGGTCGACAAAATGTATTTTTATTTCTTAAAGATTTGAAGAGTGAACTAATAACAAAGTGGCCATGGAGTATGAGTTAAATTTTATTTGGACAAAAATAGTTATGTTTTGCATTGTTAATTTTATAATGTTTCAAATATTTGCAAATAAAAGTTTAACAGAATGAAAGATGGTGGCTTCAAATGAAAAAACAAAGGTTATGCAAAGGTGGATTAATCTTATATTTGAGTTAGATTTACAAGAGTTAAGAAAGAGTGTGGGTGGTAGAACGCAACTGTAACAAGAGAGAAGAGGGAGAGAGAAAACAAAATATGAAAGTGTTGGGTTCAATGTAGTGTGGCTATCACATAATACTATCATAGAAATTTCATCATCCAATGGCTCTTAATAATGGTACACTAAGAATTTAGATGAGGGACTTAGTTAAGCCCTCATCTTAGATGCCACCATATCAAGAACCTCTTATTTATAATAAAATTCACATCTATTTAGAAACAGAAAACATCTCTTAGAGGTTTTGCACCATTTTGATTATAACGTATAAAAAGAGGTATTGCGTCTTTTCAATACAAAATTAGCATTGTTCAGTTGATAAGTTGCACATGTTACTAAATAAAAGGTAACTAGCCACTTTTCATTTTAAATTATTTATATTTAAATAAATAGCAAAATTATTCAACTGATCATCCAAATTTTTAGATACAAATTTGAATATAAAATTTATTTCATTATTTCAAATAATACAATCATCAAATATATTATTATTTTGGAAATTTTTCTCACAATCCCCCACCATTTTTAAAATTACTAAATCTCATAATTCTGGAAATGTCATGGTTTCAGATATTAGTATCTTACGATTTGAACCAATGTTTGGTGAGTTATGAGTTTCACTCATCCCGAATAGACATTGGTAGACAAGTTTTGAACCAATTATTCATTAGAACTGGTGGGTAAAACTTACACATGAAATTTTGATACTATCAAAAGAATTGTAAATATGACACATTTGATAAGGCCATATGTCATGTATCCTTTTCATGAGAATTTAAGAATCAATCCCTTTAACTCTTTGAAGCAACCCATTTCATTCACATATAGGTAGATTATATCATAAATGCACCCATAATGAGCATTCCAGGAAACATATGTTATATATCTATTGAGAGAATAATCACATCCTATCACTTTACGTTTATGGTCTAAGTAATTTTTACCCCTTGGAATGTATGTATTGTCAATAACTTCAATCACTCTAATAATGTACTTGCATCATTGAACTCAAGACTTGATTTTAATCAAGTGTGAGTTGAGTTTCGACTATTGATGATCAATTAGATATGGGCTTGAGACTCATCCCCAATGATGTCTTCAACACCATGTCTTTGGTCAAATCTTTCGTCAAAGGATCTGCAAAATTATTTTAAGTTCTTACATATATAATGGAGATTACTCCATTTAAAATTAAATCATTCACATAGCTATGAATTATACCAATATGTCTTGATTTTCCATTATATACTGGTCATATGCTTTAGATAGTGCGGATTGACTATCACAATATATGGATACAGGTGTTATTGACTTTGGCCAAATATGTATCTCATATAACAAATTTCTTAGCCATTTAGCCTATTTATTACCTGCAGTCAAAGCAATAAATTCTGCAGCCATGGTGGAGTCGACAATGCAAGTATGTTTCTTTGAACCCCAAGAAACTGCACCTCCACCAAGATTGAAGATCCATCTACTAGTGGAGGAATGATCTTCTACATATGTTACCCAGCAGGCATCTATATATCCTTCCAAAACTGAAGGATATCCATTATATGTTAAAGTATAGTTAATCATCCCTTTCAAGTATTTTAATACTCTACTAATAGCATGTCAATGGTCTTTACTTGGATTACTAGTATACCGACTTGACCTACCAATAACATATGCTATATCAGATCTGGTACTAGTCATAGCGCACATCAAGCATCTGATTACCTTTGAATATTCAAGTTGTGCCACAGGACATCCTTTATGTGGTTGCAAATTAACATTTTGATTAAATGGGATAGAAACAGATTTGCAATTGAAATGATCAAATTTCTTAAGGACTTTTTGAACATAGTGAGATTGAGATAAACCAATATGTCCACCATCTCTTATAATTTTAATCCCTAAAATCACATCTGCTTCACCTAAGTCTTTCATATCAAAAAATTTGGATAAGAAAACTTTAGTCTTTTCTACCTCTTTTAATTCAATACCAAAGATTAGCATATCATCCACATATAAACAAATTGTTCCGGACTGACCCAATGGCTAGACATGGCTTAACCCACTTCTGCTCCCATAAGGGCCCAATTTCCTATGTCCAACCTCTTTGGGGGGAGAATTTACCTTCCTTCCCCTCCAATAGGGGAGGCTGGACCATTTACCCTTGGTCACAACACTTCTCCCCGTCAGTCTCTACCCATCACGCAAGGTTTCACCATTCAGAAATAGCCAAGATGCTTGTGCCCGTAACTGTATCTCTGTCCTTCATAACAGCTAGTTATGGGAACGTTTGTCTGTCCTAACGATTATTTCTGGCAGTTACCTATTTTTCGAGAAACGGTTATCTCGCCCCGAAAATAGGGAGCAATGACCAAGCGCTGGGGGCATTATAAAAGCCATCTCACTTGAGAGGTCAGGTATCCAATTTCTCACCTTGAAACACACATATTTTGTACTTGCTCTCTTGCTCATTTTCTTACTTTAGCATCAGAGTGCCTTGCAGGTACACCCCCTCCTCCTCTTACACACCCAGCATCACTGACGTTTATCTTTGGTCCATCTCAAATTCTAATCATTCGGTAAGATCAGTGGCGCCGCCTGTGGGAATCTTGTCATCCCCGTATTTTCTCTTTTCGTAGACACAAGACCAAAACAATTCTTCAACTTTCTGATCATGGCTGCCCGTGAAAACTATCTTGATGCTCATAACTCTGCTTTCCTCCTCGTCAGCAAGACTGATGCTGAAGAGGCCTCAACCTCTCACGTCGCCGACGTCCTCCGACAAAGAGGCGAAATCACAGCTTCTCCATCCCATGTTTGTGCAGATCATGGCGAAGCCCCACTTGACCAGCAACACCTGTCGGTCCCAGTTATGCCCAATGCCGACCCGGACATTGCGACCCTCCTCGAGGTTCTCAACAAGACCAACCTCCTCATCCTTAACCTGAGCACAAGAATTGAAGCTTTGGAAGAATCTCATTGTCCAAGATCCCCTCCATTGAGGAAAGAAAGGCAGCAACAGATTCACCCTCCTCGGTGTAAGAGTAATCGTCGAACGCCTCCGGAACCAGAGATCATGCCCGTCCGTAAACGCGACCAAAATTCTCCCAAGAGCCATCAATCTCCGAAGCCCAAAAGGATCCGAAGAGAACATCTGGTAGAGTCCCCACGCTCGCCGCCCAAGTCCAAGGGCCGAGCACAAACCACGTCTCTGCGACGTGGCCACCGTCCTACCTACGGATATAACGCACGTTCCCCCTCCTGGACCGACAGCAGCAGCGACAACGAGCCTCACGGACCGTTGTCCCAGGAAATCATAGCCATGCGCCTCCCAAAGGGACTAGAGAAACCCCCTTCTCTAGGCACATACGACGGAACAACCAACCCTGACGAGCACATCAAAAATGTTGATGT